AAAGTGGAAGCACGATGATGATGCTAAGGCCTACAGGAAGCTGGTCTCTCAGCAATGGGTGTTTTCTTTCTTGTTGGGACTGAACCCTGCATATGAACCGTTGAGAGTGCAGATCCTAGGAAGCAAAAGTTGCCTATGGTTCACAAGGTATACTTCCTTGTTCAATATGAAGAAAGCAGGCGGAATGTGATGGTTATAGCTAAGGGGGAGCAACAAGTTGCTTTGGCTACAATGAATAATAAATCCACGGGAAAGAAAAGTGACCCTAAGAAGGCGGATGATAAAGATAAGTTGTTCTGTACCCACTATCGGCGTTCACGACATACATGTGACACTTGTTGGGACATCCACAGGAAACCCAAGTGGGCAACAAAGAATCAAGAACAGGGTAAAGGTCAAGGTCAAGGTCATCAGAAGAAAATGAGCACAACACATGTGGCAACCCAAGATACTCAAGTTGCCGGTAATACCCAGGACCACCCTAATAAGTCTGACCCCAAGGAGGATATAATGAATTCCTTCAGAGAGCACCTAGAATCTTATAGTAGGGCTTTGCGGAAAATGGACAACTCAGTCACTGATACTCTCTCTACTTCATTTGCATCTACTTCAGGTAATATGGCTTCTGCATTCCATGTCACTCCTACAGATTCCCCTTGGATCATTGACTCAGGGGCCTCTAACCACATAACCGGTAAGCCTAACTTGTTTCAGTCTTATAGCCTTTTGCCAGGAAGGGATAAAGTGAGACTTGCAGATGGTTCTTTTTCTTCCATTGCAGGCCAATGATCAATATCCCTTCCCCATGGCCTTAACCTGAATTGTGTATTCCATGTCCCTTAGCTTCCTATAAATTCCCTTTCAATTAGTAGCATTACAAGTTCTTTGAACTGCAGTGTGACATTTTTTTTCCGACTCATGTGTTTTTCAGGATCTAACTTCTGRGAGGATGATTGGTAGAGGAAGCCTAGTGGTGGTCTCTACATTCTCGACAACAAAGTTGGTCTCTCAGTGTCATCCTTAGAGTCGCATAGTCAGTCCAATAAGAGTCAAATTTTTTTGTGGCATAGTCGTTTAGGTCATGTTTCCTTCGAAATAATAAAATCCTTATTTTCAGTTTTATTTAAGTCATGTTCAGTGTCAGAGTTCATGTGTCAAACGTGTCAGTTGAGCAAACAATGTAGAACAACTTTTCACTCAAGTAATAAAAGATCAAATGTTCMTTTTCATGTTGTKTATTCTGATGTATGGGGGCCTACAAATGTAATCTCTGAGGGCGGATATAAGTACTTTATTACATTGATCGATGATTACTCTCGCTATACATGGGTAATTCCTATGCGTAGCAGAGACGAAGTTCCAAAGATAGTGAAAGACTTCCAGAGGATGGTGTTTACGCAGTTCCATGTTGGAATACAGATCTTCCAATCTGATAATGCAAAGGAATACTTCCATGGGGAGCTCAATGAGTTCTTTGCCTTCCACGGATCTATTCATAGGAGCTCATGTGCCAGAACACCACAACAAAATGGTGTTGCATAAAGGAAAAACAAACACCTTCTTGAGGTAGCCCGCAGGATGATGTTACACATGAATGTCCCATAAAGGTTTTGGGTGGATGCTATATTTGCAGCTGCATATGTCATCAACCGCATGCCCTCCATAGTACTGACCTACATGGCCCCTCATCAGTTATTGTACCCTAAGTCTCCTTTATTTTCCATCCCCGTGAGAGTCTTTGGTTGCCGGGCCTTTGTCCATGATTTGTCTCCATCCCGAGGTAAGTTAGACCTTCGGTCCATTCCTTGTGTCTTTCTGGGGTACCCCTCCTCTCAAAAAGGGTATCGGTGCTTTGATCCAGTTATTTGTAATTTTTTTGTGTCTATGGATGTGTCCTTYTTTGAGTCCGAGCCATTCTTCCCTCCTTCTCCTCAGGGGGAGAGTCATAGTGTGGAAGAGGAGAAGCAGGTTCAGGTATCTCTTCCTTCTATTCTGGACCTTACTCCCTTCCGTGTCTTTCAACGTACACGTTGGAGAGATCAGCGGTGTGATAGAGGTATGGAGCAGCCAAACACTGAGCAACTGACATCATCAAACTCCTAGGAGGTAAGTCCACCCCCTATCCCTACTCCTACTGTGAATGACCTTGACATAACTATTGCCCAACGAAAGGGAGTCAGGTCTTGCTCTACCAAACAGCCCATTACCCACTTTGTCTCCTATGACCACATTTCCCCCTCGTACCGAGCCTTCCTATCGGCAATTGATTGCATCCCTGTTCCCAAGAATGTTGCAGAAGCCTTAAAATGCCCAGAATGGGTAGATGCCATGAATGAGGAGATTAATGCCCTCCACAAAAATYAGACTTGGGAATTGGTGAATCTTCCAAAGGGGAAAGACCCCGTGGGGTGCAAATGGGTGTTCACGGTTAAGCACAAGGCAGGTGGAATAGTTGAAAGGTACAAAGCAAGATTAGTAGCCAAAGGGTACACACAAGTATACGGGGTTGACTATGATGAGACTTTTGCCCCAGTGGCTAAGATGAACT